CTGTTTAGATGTAGTTCACTATGAAGTTAGGCCTTTCACAGAACGAATGTCAATGTCATGTTAACTGTATAAGAAATAATTAAAAAGAACCTGTCCAGCAACAATAACTGTTACACTAATAAAAACTATTACAGTAAGTATACCAGCTGTATTATAGTAGACAAGTTAATGAAAATAAGTTCAATTTATCCTTATAAGAGTTTCACAATAAATTTGTTGCAGTTTCCCCATAGCTTCAAAGGTAATACAATATAATTATTAGATTTATCATCATTAGTATCAAAATAACCAAAACAGCGCTAGAAGAATGTGCAAACCAGCATGAATTTGAACATGTATTTTAGATAATAAGAGAATTAACCGTTCTTTTAACCTCAATATTTTAATGCATCACCAGACGTTATCTAAGTGTGAATAACATATTTCACAACACGAACAGCAAACTAATAGATAAATGAGGTAAGCTAGTTACCTCTAAATATAAGCAGGCATATAATACTTGAAAATTGAAAGTTGAGCATTTTAATTTTGTGCAAAACTGCTCGAGGGCTATTTGCGCTAGTCGCTCCTGCGTTCATATAATAGCCTAGAGGGCTTGTTAGTTTGTAATTAAGCAGAAAGCTACACAATGGGCTATCTGTGCTCTGCCCACCACGGGTATCGAAACCCAGTTTATAGCGTTGTAAGTCCGCAGACATTCCGCTGTGTCACTGAGGGCCAGACTAGAATGAAGGCAGCTAGTCAATAACTCTCACAGACAGTTTTTGGGCAACTCTTTTACCAATGAAAAATGGGATTGACTGTCACCTTATAAAGCCTCAACGGATGAAAGGGCTAATATGTTCGATGACAGGATTTAAACTCTCGACCAGCAAATTTTGAGTCGAGCGCCCTAGCCACCAAGTCCAGGGGCTATTAAGAAAAGTTCCTTTAATCATACATTAATACCCATCGGAATTAATCTTTGTTAAAATATAATTAACATGTCAAAGATATAGGTTTTATTAATGAGATGAGATGAGATATCAGGTAGTATGAATTACTCGAGATTACCTTGAGCTTTTTCATAACTTCGCACCGAAAACAGTGAATTGCTGGAACCTTTAAAGTATAGTCCCCAGAACTACCCGTTCTAATTCATGTTAAATAGGGAGACCCATTTCTACCGAAACCAGTCAAGTTGAAGGACATTTTAAGCATTTTCATCGGCTTGGGACTGGTGAGAACACAAAGATACAAAATACATTGCAATCTTTTGTTCTCTAAGATAGAGGTAATAGCAACGTAACAGAAACCGTCTGAGACTTAGGCGATACAATTATCATTTACGACACAACCGGAGCCAGCTATATGTGTTTTGTCGACAGATTAATACGACTTCTTTATGTTGAAAAACTGCTCATTTTTCCATATATTTGTTTGTTGTTAAGCAGAAAGCTACACAGTGAGACATTTGTGCTAAAATCCGAATTTTAGCGTCATAAGTCCATAAAATTATAACTATGGTATATATATATATGTATGAATTGAGCATGCCTACCAGGAAGTTGGACAAAGTATCGATAATTCACTGATTTAATAAGGATTAACAGTGTGAGAAGAGGAAGTGTGTTTACCAGATATTTTCATATTTGAAGCAGATAGGTT